TCCCTTCCCACTCACCAAATGCTAAAATGTAATACGCTTTACCCCCAGTCCTTCTTTGGCTATTACGGACTTTTAAGATGCAATGTGACCTTGGCCAGCCAAAGCGTGTTTGGTTAGCACAAAATGTTAATCATAAGAAGTCATAAGTAGGAGACTTCTACTTTACTGCCCCCTCCCCTGTTTTTTTTTTCCCAGGGACTTGGAAATTTATGGTTGGGGGGACAGGTAGGATATGAGCAGCAGGCCAAATGGAGTGCAGGGTTATCTCATCTCTGTGAAAACGACTCTGGGAAATCGATGTGACCTCTGCTAGGCTGTCACCGTATTCCCACCCTTGGCGTCCTATTTGTCTTTTTGATCAGGAGCTGAGATCTGGAGGCTGTCTCCCTGGCTCTCTCTTGGGCCAGATTATCAAAATGAATCATGGCCTGCGTAGCTGTTATATTTCTATTTATTTTCCTGCTGTTGACTAGCTGGGGTGAAATATGATTTCTGTTTGCATTTGATCCTCACTGCAGCCAGTGGCACCTAATTTAGCCGTGTCTATCTCTTTAAAGAAGACGAATGCTACTTTGGAATTTCAATCTGCCCTACTTTAACATTACCAGCCATTGACTCTGCGCCTACCGCCAGCCGATACGAATTTTTGTATGGCCCATTTTCCTAGCGTTACTTTCTCCTTGCTTCTTGCTCGAGATTGCTAGGTTCTTTTAACACAGCATACTGCTCCAAATCCATTTCTTACAAGCTCCATCTCTCTCTCTCTCTCTCTCTCCCTCTCTCTCTCTCCCTCTCTCTCTCTCCCTCTCCTCTCCTCTCCTCTTCCCTTTCTCTTTTTTCTCCGATATACCTTGTTTTGCTGTTTGTTTTAGGGTTAAAGCACTTAAGACACTATCCATTTTTTAATTATTTGCATGAAATATCTAAGTAACAACATACACACGTACATAATTATAGCCCAATAAGGGGAGAGTGTTGTAGGATTGAATTTTTAAAAAGGTGTGAAGATTGATTTTTTAAAAAGAGAATAATAATTGGGAGGTCAGGCAAAACAGAATGGTTAAACCTTTATCTGAAATTACAAGAAGCAGAATCTTAACCACCCAAAATAATCTATTGTGTTGTAGGCTGGCCACAGTTGCACATCTTTAATAATGATGCCCAGAACATGGACTAGCTTATATTCTTAATAAATCTTAAAGAGTAATACGGAACTACAAGTCCCAGCAACCCCTGCTAGCATGGCCAGTAATGCTGAGAGCTGAATCCAACAACATCTGGAGAGCTATGGGTTCTCCAATCTCTTATCTACCATGTGGCTGCAAACCATTGAGGAACGTCTTTGGAGCTTCATCGTTCACGAGGAGCATTATCACTTGCTCAATGTGTATATTTTATAGCCTAGTCATTTAAAGGCAAAAACCAACTCACATAATTTCATGGTTTCCTCTTAAATCAGGTTAGGACAGGCCACCGAAGGATATATAGAGTGAAGTTTCAAATGTTGAATTAAACATTTTTGGAAGGTTTCCAAAAATGGGTGTTAGATCCTGGCCTGCTTGAGCAATTGCTTTGGTCCCAATGATCTAGGAGGGGACTTCACAAAACATCTATCTTGAATCCTTATTCCATTTAATTTGACTTGCTGTCCAAGACTCTAAAATATGCTGAAGGGTCCCTCTAGCCTGTATTTTTATTTCCCACATTGTCAAATAATACCCTGGAGGTCATTTATATGGTGTCTAACATCCTTTTCATTTCTCACACCACTTTTTTTAAAAAAACAAAAACCTTTTCACTATTATTAATCATTTAAAAATTGTTGGAATTCCTTGATGGAATGTACTGCTTAGCTGTGTTGCTCAAAAGGCACGCACCAACCGACTTCTAGTGGATTTAGGATTTGAGGTGGGTGGTTATATAAATCAAATAAGTAAATAAAGAAAATATATGGCTCTGTTGGAGGTAATGTAGGAGGCACAGTGGCTCAGTGGCTTAAAAGACAGCAGAGAAGGTCTGTGCTCCGGCAGTTCAAGTCCTGCCACCACATGATGGGACGAGCTCCCGGTCCTTGCCCCTGCTCCTGCCCCAGCTAGCAGTTCAAAAGCATGCGAATGCAAGTAGATAAATAGGTACCATTTCGGTGGGAAGGTAACAGCGTTAACGTGTTTTGCCGTACGCTCTGCACCGCGGTGTGATGTCAGGCTGGCCACGTGATCACGGAAATATCTTCAGATAGTGCTGGCTCAATGGCCTTGAAACAGATTAGCACTGACCTTTAAAGTCAGCTACGACTAGCGGAGTTTACCTTTATTGGAGATAATGTACTTGTGTGTATAGATATTCCTCGTTTAATGACCCACTCGAACAGCAACTGTTCGACACTATACAGTGGCACAGAAAAAGAGGTACCTTTGACTGATCCTTGAACGTCTCGCTATCCCAGCACCCTTGCAGTCATATGATTGGGATCTGGCTGCTTGGCAGTTGGCAAAAAGGCTCTTTATCTTGCAATAAAACTTTCTGGTTGTTCCTGGGAGATTTGAGAATTTGTTTCTAATTCCTCTTGTGGGCTGTTGTGTTTTTTAAACTCAGTTTACTGTAGGAGCGGCACAGACAATTACAGTTACCGTTGTTTTCTACGTCACATTTTTCCATTACTCTGCACTTCTCTGCAATCTACCCTTCTCAGTTGGAAAAAAACCTCTGTGGAGGAGGTGGCTTCCTCAGGTCTTGGAATTTAATTAAACAATTGAAGCCCACGGAGCTACAAATCACCAATGTTGTGATTATATATAATGAAAAGATTGGCCATTTGCACAGATTATTGACTACTTCATCGCAGGATAGGTGCAAGGACTCTTTTGCATTCCACCCCAAAATCTCACTTCCTTTGAAAGAAATTTGGGCAGACAAATTCTCTTCTGTCTTAATTGGATGAGAACGGGTTGGGGAAAACAATGTAGGAGAAACTTGACATATTATGTGTGATAAATAGAGTCTTTGGATTTCTGTAGAATGATTATTGGACAGGAAAACAGTTGTGATGTTTTGGTTTCTATGTAGGCATCAATGAAGCCTCCGATTAGCCACTGTGAAGACAGAATACTGGAATAGATGGGTTTGGAGCAAAAGTCTTCTTACTTTTTCTGGTCTGAAATAGTTTATTTTATTATTAAATCAGAAATTTTCCTTCTGAGTCTAATGGAAAAAGACTTGGGGGGAAAAATTTGGAACTCTGATTTTATATATGGTGACGGCAGCAAAACTGCTCTATGCACAAAAATGGAAAGACACTTCGGTTACACCATGGACAAATGGCTACAAAAACTGATGGAATTAAGCAGAGATGGCAAAACTGACTGTTTTGATTAAAGAAAAGAATATAAGCACTTCTGTTTCTACTTGGAAACCGCTTCTGGACTTTGTGCTTGAGGTGGGAAAAAAATGATACTATGATTTTGGGTTTTACTGATTAGACTGATTTGTTGATATAGAAATGGCTGGTTCATACTACTATAGAAATGTAAAAAGTTGTGATTCGATCTTGATGCCTCATTTTACCTCAACAGAGGGAGTCGGAAGTTAACGCCTTTTGTTTCTTCCCCTCCCCGTCTCCATGCTTTTTCATTTTCCCTTTCCCTCTTGTTCTTTAATATTTGTATTTTCATATTTTATATTATAAATGAATAAATTATATAAAAAAAATAAATAGTGATTTGAACTCATCATTAATTCGTTCAGGTTATCTCCCCAACATTCACTCAAAAACTTAAGGTGGGGTATATAGCACTCTCTTCTCCTATTTTTCCCCCAGCAAACAGGTTGGGCTGAGAGAGAGAAAGTGGCATTAAAGAAGTAAGATAAGACCCTGTATCTCCCTGATGCCAGTCCCACTATCTTAATCACAATCTCCATCATCGTTTGGTGCTCCTCAAGGGATTAGATCAGGGCTCCTCAACCTTGGCAACTTTAAGATTTGTGGACTTCAATCCCCATGTTGGCTGAGGAATTCTGGGAGTTGAAGTCCACAAGTCTTAAAGTTGCCGAGGTTGGAGACCCCTGGATTAGATTGTTTATAACCCCTATTTTGCTTCTTGTCTTTCAGAAGAAGTCCAGATCGCCATCCCAATAATGAAACCAACCCTAGAAAAGGTCCAACTGGCTGGGCAGACTTTGCCCCCTGGATTTCCAGCTCCGTTCCTCTTTGCTGATGGGTTGTCTTCAGTGGAAACTCTATTAACCAATATCCAGGTGAGGAAATACTGTGATTATTCTCTAACGCTATCTGGAAATGCACAAAGGAGAGAGAGAGAGTTAGCTGCGTTTAGCCTGATCTTCAGATCCTCCAAAAACATGGGATTTCAGAAACAGTCAGTGGTGGAATTCCTATAAATACCTCCAGTATGCCATCATATATTTGGAAGCTCGGTGCCCAGTGTAAGTGTTTAGCGTTGGCGTAAATTGAGACAGATACTTTTGCAAACCTTTTACGAAAATATAGAGATGACCTTAGAATGGAAGAAGCATTAAAAGAGGTGAACGAGTAAATAATAAGCTATGGAAAAGTAGAAAATATGGGGGGAAAGTTTCAAACAACCTCACCTTGATTCTGTGTTTAAGAAGGAGCAGAAAGACACTCTGATAGGTTTTCAGAATTCTGTGGTTATACTTCAATAAAAATGAAATAGCGTTCCTGAAGTCTGGTTCTGTTTTCTGACCAGGTCTACCTCAAAGGGCTGACAGAATTCAACCTTGGTGTAGATGACAAAGCTAGCTACTCCTGACAGTCCACGGGAGAAAAAGGCATATATTATGCACTGCGTGCATTTTCTGGAACGGTATAAAACTAATGGCTATGCTGGGCTGTGTTTGATGGGGGCACTAAATAGGAAAAGCCCCGCTTTATCTGATTACCTGTCATTCTAGCAGGTGATCCTTTGCTTTTTCAGCTATAAAATCAACCAAGGGATGGGCCGGAATGAAAAACAGGGCAAACAAAAAATAACTTTCTTTGCTAGGATATATATTTTCTCATCACCCTCCTCCT